AATAATCTGAAGTCTTATCTCATTTCACCGGTAAGTAAATCTAACAATTGAAGCAGATGATTGTAAATAAAAATTCTTTCCTATAATGATTTTCATGTCATGTTTACAAGATCATATTTTTCAGTTTCCATATTTCTTTGAAATGAAATAAATTTTTTTTTTTTTTTTTTTTTTTTTAGATTACTTCTCAGTGAAAAAGTTGGTGGAATCTGTCGAGATGAAAATGTGGAAGGTCTTCGCTTTTATCCAAATTTATTTCTCAACACTGCAGCATGAAGGCTTTCCATCATTACATACAGGATTTGTACTGAAATCACAAAGCTGAAAGAGCAGTTGTTACATCTTTATTTATTCTGATATTTGAGGTTAAAAGTTTACATTTGGAATCTTATGAATTATTCTATTAAGATTTTTAATATGAAATCTAAAATAAACATAATGCAATAGCTTACAGATTCCTTCAAATATTTTATATATGTACCTTCATGACATTGCTAAAAAAAAGAGCATAGCATGACACTTAAACCTGATGAAAACAAATGTTTGTTATTAAGAGAATCAAAGTATATGGTGGGATTTGGTTTTTTTTTTTTTTTTTTTCATTCCTACCACATCCAAAATTTTCATTAAAAATAGTGTAGTTTTGTTATTAATCAGAAAAATTGACAGTCAACCATTTTCTCCCATTTAAACAAAAATGAAAATCTCAGTTTGAAATTCTTATAAAAATCTTTTCTTTTAACACTTACTTACTTTAAATAAATATAATTTCTAACTTTCTTAAAATATTTTCTGCACTGAAAAGATGTTATGACCTGCTTTGTTTTATTTTCAAATTACCTTTTGTGTCACTTGATGGGATGAAAGACATTTTACATGATAATTTATTCTACAGATGGAGAAAAGTGAAATTATTTAGATTTAAGTGAACCAATTCATTATTTTTAAGGAAAACTTTCAGCACACTATATTTTTTTTGTACTTAGCTTTTACATTTACGATGCTATATGGTAAATATATAAAGAAATTACAATAAGACAGTTGAGAGTGAGATTAAATTTCATAAAATTGAACTTTGCAATGAAACATGTAAATGAAATAAATGGTACTCTGCTGAAAATGGCTTAGGATAGTGATCAAATTTTTTTTTTATATAATAATTCAAAATGCTCAACGTGTTTTACAGTAACAAATTGCAATAACATGGACATTCAGTGAAGAATGGTTACGCTCAAGCCACATGACATTTTATTGCTTGTCACCTTCCATAAATTTTAATTACAGCAATTTTAACAACTTTTATGAACATAAAATTATATTTCTTATTTACTGCAAGTCTTCTGATTGTAAATTGTATCACTTCATTCAAAGTGCTAAAAAAAAAAAAAGTGAATGTCTCATAAGGACATTTACAAAAGTGAATGCAGCTTTCAACTAATTTTAGATTTTAACACATGTAAAAATCTAAAACTATTAAAGAAGTAACAAATAATTGTATTAAAAATTCATTTCTCATTGAAAAATTTTTTTGCCTTTCACAAAAATTAAATAGTTTTCTTTTGAGTTTTGTATGTTACAATTCAGGGCAATTAAAAAAAATATTTGCTTTCCTCAAAGCCTTGTACTTTCAACTAATATAAACACTAAACTGAACACAACCAAATTTCTACTTTTCATAAAAATTACTTGACAGTGGGTAATAAATATAAAAAAATATTTCAGTTATGACTTTAATTAAATAAAAAAAAAAAAAATAATTTCCATCTGAAAGTTTCTTTTCTAAATTTATGTGTGTCATACAAAAAAAAAGTACTAAAAATTGTATATTTTACTAGTAAAGAAAGGTTTTTTTTTTTTTTTTTCAATGAAAATTTAGAATGTTATAAAAACAAGGAAAATTTTTTAAAAATAATGAAAAAGAACTTTGACCTTTCCTCTTAATAAATAGCAAACATTTAGCCAATAAAATTTTGTTTGCTTAAAAATGAAACAATCTCATGAAGGTACCTAATTTTATAGGTTGTTTCTGCATTAGAAGGTCACAAAAGGGGGTGCAGGATTCTTTAAATTGATTCATTTTTATCTAATATCAGCACACAAGTAGGAGACCAAAATAGATTATTGAACTTTGCTTATCAGGGATAAAATAAGGAATCTGGTTTTGCATAATGGTAGTAGAATCAAAATGCAGGTCAAAATTGTGTGTATATATATGGATTATTTACAAATATCCTGGGATGGCAGGGGAACAAGAATTACCTTTCACTATTTTCATGAAGGAATCTAAGCAACATTTTCTGCTTATCAATCTTGAAACATTGCAAACAATTTACCTCTTAGCTGAAATGTTTAAGAAAAACAAAACTGAACTACAATACCTTCACTCAGACACTTTCAAAATGTTACTGACACATCAGTTGTTCTCCAATCTTGGTTCAACATTGTGAAAACTCTCACTTTAACTCTGCAAGTAAAAAAAAAAAAAAGTATTCCACAAACAAGTCTAATAAGTCTAATTAGGGCTCCTGGAAGTTAATACAAAAGATTTCCAGTAAACTTCATTTTGTTTCTAGAAAATACAGTCAAATGAAACTACTTCATTTCCTTGCCTATTTGAAATAAATTCATTCTTTTATGAGCAAAGATGAAATGTATGATTTTCATGAATCGACTATATGAAAATAACGTTTTTTTTGTTTTTTTTTCTTTTAATTGGGATAAATTAAAAAACAAATACATAAAACTATAAATTTCCATTTAAAACAAAACAAACTATATACCGTTTCTTTTGATGTTATCTTGGCTGAAGGCCATCAGCTTCTTGTCTCATGTCTTTCTTTCCTCGATTGATCTGCTGCAGTTTACTCTTCTTGCAGTAATATTTTCGATAAGCAAACTTCACAATGGTTATATAAAAGGCAACAGATATTATATAGAATACAACACCACCACACTTTATGTGGAAAGGAATATGGTCCATAGCATTGTAACAAATCATTAGATAGGTACCAACACCCATTCGAATGCAAGTGAAACCAAGTATGAAAGCAACATCCACACACTCAGCAATTACTGTGTCTTGGTAGCCAAATTTTCTAAGGAACCATCTCAGTTGCAGCAAAGGGTTGGTGATTTCTGATCCAAAGATGAGAGCAATAAGTTCAGTGCCATAATATTCTGTGACAAGGCAGATGGACAAGCCAAAAATGGACACTACATGATGGCACAACATTGTGGGACCTACAATGAAAGAAATATATATATAACCATATTTTGTTTTGTTTTTTTATCTCCCAACACTGAAACTGAAAATTTCAAGGACTGTTTTGTTTTTTTTGTTTTTTTTTCTTACACCTTTTCAACTTTCATGTATATAATTAAAATATTAGTACAAACAACTTTTACTTGCCTGAAAATGCCAAACCAAATTTCTTTTAAACAAATCATTCACAAATAAACAAGTAAATTAAAGGTGGTTGTTTTGTTTTTTTTAAATTACTTTTTCATAATGTAAACCTTCAATATTAAATAACAAATATTTTGAAACTTTTACATCATAATATTTTAGTCATAGGCAAATCATTAATTGAACTCAAGTTTTCTTGTGTTATACTGACCAAAAAAAAAAAAAAAAAAATTATTTTCACTGCCTGTCAGAGTAAGAAAATACCCATCAGTAAAAGAAACATATTTTGTCAGCCACTCTAGAATTACTACTTTCAGTTCCTTAAACAACCTATAAATCATTAAAGAAAACATACAATAAAACATTTTATATCAGTCTTTTTTCAAGAATAATAAAAAAAAAAAAAAAAAAGGTTTAAGCTGACAAGGCAAAATTACAAATTAGATTGGTGGGAGGGACAACACTCCTAGCATTGTTAAGGTTCACTAGCAAAGAGTTATTAAACACTCCAGCCAATATTATCAGGATCTTTTTTTTTTTTTAATATTATTAAACCTGGGAGACCTCATTTTAATTATTATGTGTGCATGCTTTTCTTAACTTCGTTTTATGCTCAACTACTCAATAGGATTTAGATATACTTACCTTCTGTAGAAAAATATATGCACCAACAAAAATCAAAAATAAAGTATCCCATGCTAGTAACAACAGTGACATATTGCAGTGGGGTTGTTGGTCCACCTGGAAGTAAGACAAAAAAAATATTCACAATTCATACATAATAATCTGCCATTACTGATTTACTTGAGTTTGCAGTAGTTTTTCATCTTCTCAATGTTGATATTTTTTTTTCTTTACATCTCAAATCAAGTATACTGTCAAAGTATCATATTAAATCATTTATTGTCTTTATCAAAGAAATGGTTACATGTCACTGCCCATCTCCTTTCCTTTAAGCAAACGTTTCACAAAACTTTGTCATTCCCTTTGCTACAAGTGCCCATCTCAGTTGAAATAAATACATTTTCATGAATGTACTTGACTATTTTTTTTTTTATGCTATGCATTAAAGCAACAAATATCACCAGCTTAGTGCAAATGACTTTCAATGTTTGATTTGGATGTTGTCTCTCTTGATTATCTTACATGCATTTATTATTCTCAAATAATGTCTTTCTTCACTTAATGATTATTAATCTCAACTAGAACATCATTCAGTAAGAAAATCACACAAAATTGCAACACACTTTTTACCCATTTCAGCAGATGCATTGTATTTTTTTCTTCTCTTTTCAGTGTCAAAATCCATTAACAAAAATTTGAGAAAATTAACATTTCTCACACTGCAATCAAAAGTGATATTCTTTAATAGAGTAATTTAAAACTAAATCTTCTTAAAGCTATTTATAAAATATAGCCAAACCCAACATTAATAAAATTTAGAAATACATTAAAAATCATTTCACAGAATTAAGTTGGAAATAACAGGAAATATTCTGGACAAAAGAATGGCTCCACATTTTCACTCCTTATTTCTGATATACAGCAAATTTGGCAGGATATAATAGCACAAAAATACTGTTGACAGTATAATGATTTCAACTGGTCAAAATATGCAAAACACACATGCAAATAAAGTGCAAAATACCAGTTTACATGATTTAAATATGCATCTATGAAAATGGTTGCACAGTAATATATACATAATTTTTTTTTTTTTTTTTTTTCATATCACCCCATGCAGGACAACAAAGCAACTCAGACACAAGGGGTTACCAAGTGTGAAAGAAAAAAAAAAAATAGAGAATCATTATTAAGGAATGAAATGAAGAGAACATTACATAACTGACATTGCATTTAAATTTGTGAACATCAAGTTCACTGAAAAACATGCATCCAAAAGAGAGTTAATAGAGACATGCAACAGAATAAACTGTTATGGAACTTACGGTTACATTTAGCCATTTCAAGTATAAATTGAAGAGACCTTGTTGCCATTCTAGTACTGTGCTTAATTTCATGAAGTCAAGGTACCATCACTCATCAAACAATTACCATGAAAGTATTTAGAGAAAAGGCCCAGGTGAGAAAGTTACTGATGTCGAGACACCAGGTTAGGGCCAATAATATTGCTAATTCTTTGGATTTTATCAAGAATACAGCAGGAGCACCAGATGATATGTGGCAACAATATTGATGGCATGTATAAATAGTACACTTAGAAATATATAAAATAGATTCAGGAGAAAAATATTGTCTAGCACAGTACACTGAATAAACTTTCTGAGCAGCAGACCTTGCAATGCATTTAATATAATCTTTTCATGTAAACCCAAGAAGTCCCTCTCATGGATGTTAGTATTAGCTATGCTGACCAGAGGCAGGAAGAGGGTAGGAAAAAAAAAAACCCTTACTAGCCAGTGCTCAGGATCATAAAAAACAACACAATTTTGGATCTTGCCAAATTCCTGTTTGGTTGTAACGGTTCAGATAAAATAATCTTCTGATTTGACGGAAGCAGAAACCTCATCTTCAATTCAATCTATCATTCATTCTCCAAGTAAAATTTGAAATAAAGCAAAATTTCAACAGCTAAAACTGAAGACATCCATGTTGTGATCTTCCTACATCCTACAAGACAAACATCACCAGTTCATGTCTTCAGCATAAAATCATAATACTATATATATATATATATATATATAGCATTTTATACATGCAAATGCTTTTTGTATTACAAAAATTCAATAGCAAGTTTGTTTTTTTTTTTTTCTTTCGTTTTTTTTCATCATTTCACCCCAAACAAGGTGATAATGCCACTAGGATGCAGAGTGTTACAGAGAATGAAAGAAAATCAGAAGACTTTAATGAGGACAATTGAGGAAAGGACATTAAAGGAACAGTTTATTTTCAATTTTTAGAAATTGTAGGTGGCAAGAAAGCGGAAGAGTTCCACAGGTAAGAAGTGTGAGAAAAGAAACAATAGAAATGGTGGTTGCATGTACCTAGTTCAATAAAGCAGTGACACCTGTTACAAAGGAATGCATTTCCCTGATTCATTCTAAAACCTACAAGAGTTGGGCAAATGAAAAAACTTCTTCAAATTTTAATAATTTTTTTGTCTTTATAGTAAGAAGTCTTAAGACCATAATACCACATGACAGAAACAAACAAAAATATTTACTTTCAGTATTAACAAGACAAAGAATACAAAGACTTACCTGGATCTGTGAAAGGCCAGGGTCCTTGCACAAAACCACAGTAGGCTGAGAGACAGGTGACTAAAACAGCATGGATGGCACTTACTAAACGGCAAGACCATTCATATCCATATTGTGGCCATTTAGAACAAAGAGTAAAATAGAGACCTGACCATAATGATAGAGTCATTGTCACCTGAAGCAGCATGATAAAGGATTCTGCAAACAAAAATAAAATGATAGACATAAATAAAAGTTAAATATTGTCATGTTTCTAATGAAACTACAGTGTTAAGAATTTCAAATTTCAAAGTTACAATTTACATCTGTGTAACACTACTTACTACTGGTAAATAATAAGGAGGCTTTTACATAGAATGAACACTATACTAACAGATCTCTGGTAAATAATAAGCCTTTTGAATAGAATAAACAATATAGCAATAAACCATCATGGGAAAGATTGAAGATTTTATTTCTCAAAAACCAGATGGCTAGCTAAAAACAACACTTAATTTTACAACGGGGGCCATATGGTAATATTCTGACAGGTGATGGATGACCACCAGCTAAAAGTGCTGGCTGAGAAAACACAAATGGAGAGAATCAGATCAGATTTAAAATCATAATCCAGAGATAAGGATTTTCTTGGAGAATGTCTCCAATGGGACCCAAAGGGAAAAATCCATCTGGTTTTCATTTCAGTTTTGGACAAGGAAAACATAAAACTGCTAAGGGAAATTTTTCTGCGTGGGCTAAAGTTTAAATGATAATTCTTTTTGATTAATGGACTTGGGAATTAAGCCTCACCTGACAGTCGAGAACCATGAGTTGGAGAGTGGCAGAGGTAACAGGCGCAGATGAGACACCAAAGAAGGTGGAGGGGTTACCCATGGTGGGAGATGCTAATAAGAGAAGGAGCAAGTTATGGGACAAATTAATGCCTATGATTGTCCCCCTTGAACGGGGTGGGGGGAATCTTCCAAATTAGGAAGTAATTAATTCTCAGGACCCAGACAATAGAGGAAGAATTCTTTGTGACACGTAGAGAAGATATTGAATACCCAGCTGCATCACGCACCCATGCTGGTTTGGGTGAACATCAATAAATACAAATGCCTTGAAACAAGAAAGGCACATTGTTCCAGCCACCACATGAGAGACACCCCACATATCTGTGACATCAGCCTTATGCCAAACTTCATCAAGTCAGCAACGTGTCATGTCTCACTTAAGAAGCAGGTTGGGTTGATAATCGTTGGCATGTAAATTGCTAGAATTTGACAACTAACCAAAGTTACTATGAAGAACCTTATATAAAAATAGTATTTATTTTTGTTATTCAAGTGTTATTTTCTTTACATCTTTATCCCACTTGGAGCAGCCCAATATGAAGATGCCTGATGGCAATTTGATGTTGGCCAACCTCATGAGCAAAGCAAATCACAATGTGGGATAACGCGAGGCCTAAACCAAAGCAATCACCTATTTGACCAGCTGTGGGCATTGGATATTCAGACAACCAGGAAGAGACTTGAGGGTGACATATGTTCTGAAGATATAATAAGTGCAACTGATTTATTAGACATCTGGCCTTGATGAGCATTTTGATGCAAAAACTCTCAAGTTTGAATGTTTCTTAAATTATATATATATATATATATATATATATATATATATATACACACACACACAAAAAAAAACATACTTACACAGGCAAACACATATGGGGAAGGGTCCATTTCAAAAATAATATTTCCAACATTTGACCATTTGTTAATATCTTGCTAAGAGGATCATTCCAATAGCTTTTCCTATATATATATATATATATATATATATATATATAGCAGAATATGAGTATATAAATGAAGAATTGAATTAATCTTCAAACATGAATCTACAAATTTTTAATAATTTTATTTTATTGATTATTTTTCTTTCAAATTGAAAGAAATGAATTAAAGATACGTTGCAAACAACTTCACACAAAATGTTTTGTGTATCTTTTTTATGGTACAATTTAATGAATTGTGTTAGTGTGACACTATTTAGCTATGGTAATTGGCTAACTAACCATAGAAATTAAAACAGAAAATAGAGATTCTTAAACCAGAAAAAAAAGAGCTATAACAAAAGATAGACTAATGGACATTAAAAGATATATTTTATTTTATTTACAAAAATAGCCCACAGAAGAAGCCACGTGTGAGGTCTTGTCCTGTCAAGTTATTGCCGATGGAGATAGAAAGAAAGGCAAATATGGAATTATCACCCAAAACATGCGTTGGTCGTAAAAATTTTGGTTAACAGAAAATGCATCTACATGTGTGCTGATGTACATTATTTTCAATGTGTGTATGAACTGTAGTTGCCAAACTCATAAAAGACAGGAGAAGGCAACTGTTGATGCATGTAAAGAAACTATCATTAAGCATTATTTTGTAATAATGAATACTCAAAGTGAAAGATCCAAGTAATTAATTGTGAGAATTTCAGTTTTGTTTGTGACAAATGATCAAACATTGTCAAAGATTCACTGAAAAACTAGTTAGTGAACAACAACTGATCATATTTATAACAAAATAGTAGCCTCAGAGTAAATCTAAAATTTACATTTATTAATCGCAAGCTTATTGGCTAATATATAGTTTTAAATATTCCTTTTAAGGAAGAAAAATACTGTTTAACATATTCAGTAATTGAGCCTCCAATATTTCCTTCTTGTACAACATCACTGGTTGGTTAATATATATATATATATATATATATATGAATTACAAAGATTCAAATAACTGGAGCTGGTTTTGTACAAAAATTCAGTTACTTTCTGTAAGCCAGTCCATGTATAAAAATGAGTTTTCAATGACAGTACTTAAATCTATTAGCATTTTTCTACGATTCTGAAACATATATATATATATATATATATATATAAAATAAATCAAGAAAAACCTTAAAAATCCATCTCAGTTATAATTTATTTCCTGAATATTTTTATATTCATCTCTTCAGACTGAAAGTTCTTTTTAGAAATAGACTCAATTTGTCCAAACTGATAGAAAAATAAGGGGAAAAGAAAAATTTTTAATAATAAAAAAAAAGGAAGAAAGAAAAATAAAAATTTCAAATATAACTTTTTTTTTTTTTTAAATTAAGTGAAGAAAGAGAGGTGGGGTAGATAAATAGATAATGTCCTGCTGGAGAACACCCATAATACAAGATCTCCAATTGAAAACAAAAACTGTGAGATAAGATAAGATAGAGTAGATTAATAAGTCTCAAATTATTTCAACATGTATAATAAAGATTTTAAACATATTTCAACATGTATAATAAACATTTTAAGCATACATGTATTATTTCACTTTGCTCGAACATGCATTATTTTTGTAAAACTTTCTTGAAAACATTAATTTTTAAACTGAATACTTAGTAACAATGGGTTGGAATGTAAATAAATGTCTTACTAGTTGTCAGGATAAAAAATATTTTTAAATTACTATAAAAAATATGTTAAAACTAAGGAAAAAAAATGACAGTTTTACCCAGTAAAATTAACTTTTTTTTTTTTTTTTTTTTTTACTTGTTCTGAAAAATAATATAAGCAAAACTTCTCTTATGCATTTCCAATACGTTACTCATTTTTCAGTTTTGGTCTGCATAACTTTTTTTTTCCAAAGTGCCCTTGACCTTCCTATTAAGAATTGTGCTAAAGCGGTTTCTTTGTTTAAAGCTGGCACCGATGCTTTCATTCCTTCTTGGAAATACCAGGTAAAACCACAGTCTTCTCTTTGGTTCACACTGGCCTGTTCAGTCACTACAGCCCAGAGGAATCACTTCTTCCGGGTGTTCCAGTATAATACTTACAATCACAACAGATGTCTATTGGTGTCTGCTCATTGCTCATAATGGTTGTAAATGTGTCCCCAAAGAGGCTAAGTTGTTGTTTGATGATAGGTTTGGCCCTCATGACTATTGGCAGTTATGTAATAGTATCTTAAACAAGAGTAGGTCTTCTATCCCACTTCCCTAAATTTGAGGTGTTGACATCATCTACTGATAAAAGCAGAATGTCTGGCTCATAAATTTTCTTTACTTTCTTCTAATGGAGTATCTTTGCCCTACTTTGCACTTAGAATTGAGTCCCTATTGAGTGATCTCTAAACTGGATCCCCTCAAAGGATGTGCACTTGATGGTATCCCTGCAATAATCCTTAAGAAATGTTATCACTAAACTTGTGTCTTGCTGTTTCTTGCTCTCCTGCTTGTTGGAAATCCCCTTCTGTAGTTCCAGTTTTTAAGAACTCAAGCAAATCATCTGATTCTTTTCCCAGCCTATTAACTTTGTCCCTCTTTTTGGCAAAGTACAAGAGGCTTTAATCAATTCTGAATTGGTTAAGCAGCTTACCTCGCAGGGTCTTCTTTCAAATAAGCAATATCCCTTTCACTTCTCTAGGTCAATTGCTAATTTGTTAATGGTTATTGCCAAAAATTTAGATAAAAATGGTGAATCTTGAGTTGTTGGTTTTGATATCTTAAAGCCATTTGACAGGGTTTAGCATATTGATCTTTTTCACAAGTTGAAAGGTTATGGTATTTCTAGATAAATTTTTGAACTGATTCAGTCTTTCTTATCAAATCACAAAATAAAAGTTGTCTTGCACAACCACACTTCTACCTTTTTTTTTTCTTAATTAATGCATGTCTTCCCCAGGGCTCTATCCTTGAACCTAATTTTCATCATCAACCTTCCTGTTGGCATCAGCTCTCAACTTATCTATGCTGATGAGACAAACATTTAATATAGGTACCTCCTTGAGATCACTAAAAAAAAAAAAAAAAAAAAAAAAAAAAAAACATAGCATGATGAAAAAGATGCCAAACTTGACAAAAACAAAATTTTATTATCTAATTGTTTATGTTATTATTAAGAAGAAAGATCAAAGTATTTTGGGGGTATTTTTTACATTTTTTAATCATTCCGAGCACATCCGAAATTTTCGTTAAAAATCGTTTTTTTTTGAGTCAGCAAAATTGACAGATTTCAACCATTTTTTCCATTTTATAAAAAAAATGAAAATCTCACTTTGAAATTCTTTTAAATATCAATTATCATTTTTTCAAAATTTACTTTAATAAAATCAGAAATTATGTTTATTTAAAATATTTTAACCAAAGCTTAACTTAGCTTCTGTGCCGAAAAGATGTAATTTGAAAATAAAACAAAGCAGCTCATAAACTTTCGCCTCACTTGACAGGTGATGAATGACATATTGATGGATTCTGTGAGGATAATTTGTTGTACGGAAGGAGAAAAGTGAACAAATTATTTACCTTGTTATTTTTAAGGAAAACTTTCAGCACTAAGTTTTTTTTTGTACTTACTTTTCACCTTTACATTTACGATGCTTTATGGAAAATATATTATAAAGAAATTAAAATAACACTGTTAAGAGTGAGATTAAATTTCCTAAGAAACGTATCTAATTAATTTATAGTTACCTTTCTTAGGAAATTTTAACAAAAGTGTATATAAAATACTATAATTTTATGTACATTTATTACACTTTACTGTTTTATTTGTATTTCCAATCATTTTATTATTAATTTTGATATTTCATTTATGGAAAAATGTCATAACTGAGATTAATATAAAAATAAGATCATATAAATTTCATAAGATGGTACTGATACTTGTAGGTAATCTTCTCAGTTGAAATTGAAAAATCAAATTAACTTCTCCACACGTGTTTCGCAAAAGTAAAAACCTTAACAGCGGAGAACAATGCTTAACTCAAATAAAGCAACTTAATTGTATTCTGGTTGGTCTTCCGTACTTTATAATTACAGCCCGATTATAAACACAATTACATTTCTTAATTACTGTGGAT